GCGGGCACAGAGCCTCCTAAGCAAATTGTGTACAAGGTAATCTTAAAATTTTAGTCCATGATGTCAGAAAGACTTCTGATATTAGGCAGAGGACAAAATTTCTATGGGAAGTCTTGAAAAATACTTTGAATTCCCAATCTTGCTTTTTTTTTTTTCTCCTGTATCGTTCAATAATCACCATGATTCTGAAGATATAAATACCTAAGTCACCTGGATAGTTTTTCATAAAGTGCTGGGTAATAAAAATTACCAGCCACAAGCAACAATAAAATCACATAGATGCAAAGTTCTTATGTCAAAACAGGAAAAACAAACAAACAAACCCCTCCCCCACTTTTCCAAAACCCTCATCCTCCTAAAATATTTAGTTTTGTTTCAAACTTCAGAGCAGTAAGAGTTTAAAAAACGTCTGCATTTGTAGCACATCTCTGCATGAGCAAATGATTTAATGATACGTTTCATAATTCACTGTTTGGGGTCTACATCCAGAAACATCTCCTGTATTTAACACTTGATATTTTAGAAGTAATTACTCCTTCTAATGCCTTTTTTTTTTTTTTTTTTTTTTTTTAATTTTAAGGCAGATCAGTGAAAACACGTTAGAACTAGACTGAGGTCAAGACAATGCACTAACCCTTAATTTCGTTCTGGCTTTCTTCTCTTTTTCTTTCAAGTTCTTTTCGATCGTAGTTCAGTCTTCGTAGGCACATAATTCCACACTGAAAACTGTTTCTGTTTAGAAAAGAAAAACAAGTTTAGGGAAAAAAAAAAAAAAACAACACTTACAGATATCAGAAACATTTACTGTAAGTTAGGTCTCCAACTTAAATCTATTTACCTGTGAAAGCTGTCCACCATTTTAAGTTGCCCACGCAGATCTTTTTTAGTTAAATGATCCAGCATTCGAGCATCAACAAGACATTCCATGAAATAGCTGCGATACTGAGGGAGCCCCAGACTAGGGAGCCATTCATTGCCAATCCACTCATGGTTCATATCACCGTATGCTAATGTCTGTTTTTAAAAGATTAAGGAATAAGCTTATTAAAATGAGAAATATAAGAGAAAAGCTTTTTTAGACAACATATTTTAAAGGAAAAAGTAAAACAATGCTTACTTAATTTTTAGCCTGTAAAGATAAGCAAATAAAAATACTGAATACTACATGGATGTTTGCTGAAGAAGTTAACCTCATGAAGAAAAGCAAGTTTAGATATTCAGATCAGCAAGTAAAACTGCCTTAATTTATTTCATGTTGAAGAGTATGAAAAAATATGCAAAAACCAATAAAAATAAAAAAGACTGATCTATACTGTTTTGATAGCAAGAGCCATAGAATTTCATTTTGTTAAGATGCTAAAAATACTGTATCTCTTGAAAACTGGGGGGGGGGGTTTCTTATTTTTCACATGACCCTATGAATACAAGATATCAAAACAATAACTGCAGGGCTTTTTTTAATACACTTATTAGCTGTTTTCAGAAACTGATCCCAATCAAGTAAGGAAAAAAATTATAAAAACCCACTACTGAAGAACAAGCAATTCTAAGTGCTAGTCCTTATCCTAAAAATGAACCAAAACAAACCCAAGAAAAACCCCCAAAAATCCTTTTGCAGTTTTGACCTGCAAATCATCAGGCATTTTTTGGAGAAAACTTTTAAAAAGAAGAGAGTTTGTAACTATGCATTTAATCATTCTTTGAGCAACGAAAAACAGCGGCTTTTTTTCTCAAAAGTCAAGGGTAATAGTTCATTTTTACTGTGCAATTAAAAATCAAAAGCTTTATTTCTTCTCTAGAGAAAGGATCTTCTAGAAAGGAGCAAAGCCATATAGAAGTGCATTTCTTCAAGCCATCGCTAGGTAGCAGACTGAAAGAGCAGGTTACTCGTGTAACAGGGAGGCAAGTTATGATTGTTATCATTGACAAACTGCAAATGAGTATCTGAGATGTAGTTAATGGGACTTAAACAGGTTTAAGCTGGAGGGCAGCCAAGCAAGAAGAGACTATACTGTCCAAAGATACGGGTCACAGGCAAATCCTGCCTTTGTTTACATCCCTGTATAAAATACGTGACTATCTCAATGCCTGAAAATACAATTAGGATTTGTCACCACTCTAAGGGGAAACAATTCATCAAGGAGGATTACAGAATTAGTGCACAGAAATCTACTTAACTATCTTGGCTCGGTATGTCTGGTAGCACACCTGTGATAGAGGCCGGGCTGAACAGGGACTTTCTGCACACAGCAGATACTCTTGTTGGGCTTCTGGCTTCCCAGAGAGCCAGCCTCCACCAAAACACACTTTATGTCATGCAATTACTTTAAAATTTGATCTAGTATGTTCCATACATAGAATACAACAATGCTTATTAAGAAAGAGTAACTTCATTTTGGTGATTCATAAGCTAGACGACAAATATTTCAGAAAGCTAATGTTAACAAAGATTTCTGAATATTCTCTTAACAGCCTTATTATTCAAAATTGTTATGCATAGCTTTTTTTGTGATGTACTATGTAACAAAGTATTTTACAAATGTTCAATGATGAACCACCAAATCTTGGAAGTTCTAGAAAACATTAAAATATTTAAATCACCTAAATATAAAAGTGTATCTTCCAAGTATGTATTATAAAGAGATAAGCCTGTAGTTTCCCCCTCTCCCAATCCCCAAGCCACACCAAGAGCCACTAAAAGAAACTGCTATAAAGGAAAAACAGATTCTTTCATGCTCTAATTATTGTGACAGTTTACATATAGTCTATAATATTACATAAAGTTTCCAACCTGAGCCCAGCTGCCCTCCTCATCTTCCTGTTACGTGGTTAGAAAAGCAAAAGAACACATACACATTAGTATTTCAGTTTAGTAAGGAGATCAAAGTTAATGATGCACTGCAAGACTAAGTCTACTGCATACCAAAAATAAACTAGATAAAGCAAGCATCATGCATTGTAAAAAAATATACAAGGCACTCATTTTCCTATGAGAGTTTGCAAAACCCATCTACTAATTAAGTTTTCCGGAGGAAAAAAATTTCTGTGCAAGTAATTCAATTTGTCTATTAGTTAATCAAGTCAGAGCTCCATTTTACGGATCAGAAAGAGTTTTGTTTACAGTCTTAATGTTGATTTTCTCCCCCCTTCTACAAAAAAAAAAAAACAAACCACTATCAAGATGCAGGTTACAAGGTTAATAATTAGAAGCAGCAATGATCCAGAATTTTAATGCATTAATTTGGGGAAGAAAAAAAAAAAAAGAAAAAGAAAAAGAAAAAAAGACCAAAAGACACTTGATTCAAATGTTCAAAAAAGTGGGAAAAGCACTCTAAAGAACAGAAGTGGCAACACTGTAAACTAACCGTTTGTTGTGTGGCTGTAAGATTTTCCATTTCTTCATGTGTTACCCAGACATTTCCCGTGGTCTAATATGACCCCACAGGGAACCAATCCCATCCAGTGAAAGGAAAGCAGTAACAAAGAGGAGAGGTTGCAGAACATATAAGCAATCGGTACACGTAAGGAGCAGGCATGGGCAAAAGCAATGGTTTCTAAAGTCTTAAGTACAGGTATATGTATTGAAAGTAATGGCATGGAATAAAAGCCTATTAACATGGATCACTTTTCTTCAAAGATATTAACAAAATTGAATGTGATAAATAGCTTACACTGATGTAATTAATGGGCAAACACTTGACACTGCTCTGATCCGAAAAATGCATTTGTAGTCTAGTACATGATCCCAGGAATCTCAGAAATAACTTCAGATCGCAGGGCAGGCAGACTCACGAGAGGGAAGTCACACTAACTTTAAGTGTCTAAATTTACTATAGTAAAGAGAGACAGGTGGACTCCTACGTTTATGTAGGTTGAATCATTATTTAGAGTTAATGGCCTTATACATGGATTAAAAGAGCCTCCAACTATTTTACAAATTTCTGTACGCACATGTATACTTCATCTGTATTATAAATTTTTCTCAGGCCAAAAAATGAGGCAAATAACACATACTCCAAATATTCTGGATTATATACTTACACTGATATAAAATTCTCTTTC